CAGTTGATGCAGCACTGCTTTCGTCCTATGAGACTAATTGAGCCAGGGTCTCTTGTCTGACTTCAAGTGAACCATCATTCTTGGTGGTTTTGATCTTTTGTCACTGAGCCCAAAGAGCCAGGGATTAGGAATTAAGATCATGCACAAAAATTTCCTAAAAATTCCTGGGTGGCTACAGATGTTGAGGAAAGTATGTAATATTTTAGAAACTTAGGGGGGAAATGTAGGATGGTATTTTTATGTAAAGCCTTGACCCAGTGTTTAAAAAGATAATTGTATTTAGATCTTGTTATTATTGCTCCAGTACATATGAATTGTGTAAAGTGTTACAGCAGCTGTTTATGTTTAAATTGTGTGTTGAAGATTAGGAAAAAAATAGTGGTTATTTTTCCTAAATGAAATAACTTTCTTCTCCCCTCCACCAATTCTTTTCTGAAGTTACTGGCATTTGGGTCAAGGTTTTATTAAAAGCTACATTTTATAACACTGGCACAAAAACAGTAGTTTTAAGCTTGTTTGCACAGTTCTTTTTTTCCATTGGAAATGGAATTCATTGCCTTAGGTCTTTTAAAATAGTGTATTATTATCGTTGGGGCTGGCTCTATGCTTGAAAACCAGTTTATTTATAACCTGTTGTAAGTGCTATATTCTGTTTGCAGTTAGGAAATGCAGAATTCAAAGTGATCTCCTAGCTTGTAAGCAAACTGAGACGCACTAGCCCTTTTCTATAAAAATGAATTAATGTGTCAAGAAACCAACTCCAGCAAAGTGGTTTAATAGTATCCTTTCCTATGTGTTTATCTGTTTTGGGTTGTTAATATGATGATGATGGAAAGTCAAGATAAATTTTAAATATTAAGATTTCTGATTTATTGAGATTGAATTATGCCACCATGCTTATGTAAAAATGAAGGTGGCACCATAATGAAATGTAACAAGAAGTAGTTTCTCAGTGTAACAATTTTGATTTATTCTCTTTCCTATGACCTCCTTCCTTGTTGTCTTGACCCATAGCAAAAGGATATTGCATCTCTCATTACTGTTGAGCTGGGGTTTATTGAAGTTATATAAACACATCTCAGTCTGTGTCTCTTGGAAAGGTATCTATTAAGTCCTGCTAGGTGACTGATAAGACTAAGCAGGGAATAAAGGTAAATGTGTTTCATGTTTTGCACACAACTGCAGAATTTGTATAACCACATGACTTCATAGTTGTGATCTCAAAAAAGGAATTCCTCATTTAATTTTTCTTGCAGTTAATGTAAGAATACTCTAAATCTCTAAGCTTCTGAAGTGTTAGAGGTAGAGATGGTCTAGTGAATATGTAGTAGTAATGTTTTATCCACTTAGCATGTGTTTATTTTTCCTTGTGTACTCAAAGGTGACTTATTTGTTCAGCTCAGAGATGTTACAGCTAAAAATCATTCATTAGCAAAAGGAGAAGCGGTCTCCACCTGAAAAACATTTCTTATTATTTTATATTGAGTTGAATATTTGACTCTTAATACTTTTCTACATACAAAACAGGTTTCTGGAAGGCTCTTTGTAATTGCATTGTAGGAGAATTTAGTATGTCATAAGTACTTATTTGACATTCAACTGTATTATGCATATGTTGGTTAATTTCCTTATGAGCCCCATGATGGAATGACTTAAAGATGAATTTGATGAAAGTTGAAAGAAACTAGATTATCAGGTTCTGTTAAATTGTTACATGTATCTTGCTTAAATTTCTGTTCATTAATTTATATCTACCCAATTACATAAAGCAAATTTGGAGGAAACAGCTGAATTTGTGCAATATTTTCAGTGATACTTTTTTTATTCTTTTGTTTTCTACTTAAACATGGTGTCTATATCAAGTATTATAGTCAGACTTTCTTTTTTTCTGGTTTGTCCAAATTGGTAAATGAACTTTTTAAAAAATGATCTTCCATATTGCAGTTAGTCTTTCTTTATTTCAGGACTTCTTTCACAGAAGTTTGGTAATTTTGAAGGAAACAGTATTGAGCAGGATGCTTTTTTGAGCACTTTGTATTCTTTAACTTTGTTCTCATACTCTGTTAAGAATCATCGATTTTGGCTTTTACTACATTGTTTAAAGTTATAATACAGCTGTGAAAGTGGTAAGGTTAGAGTTGAAAATATCTCTCACGATATGTAATCCTTTAGAAAAAAAAGTCATGTATAAATGTCTAGGTACACATATATTTGGGGAGTATTTTTTTATTGCTTGTCATTTAATATCATCTGATCATATACCCAGATGCTTGATAGCTTTAAATTTCTAAAACCGAATAGGTAGAACCTGCTAAGATACAAGGAAGATGTTTTCAAGCTTGGCAGTGGGATTTGAAATGTCTGAAAAGCCCAACCAGGGGAAAACAAAAAACAGAAGCATCTTGTTCTTTTAAATATAAAACCTAGCAGGTTAAAATATTTTCCTTTCAGTTCACATGGATTTTCTTAATTCTATGAATACTTTCCCTCTACTATCATTGTCTACCTTGTGATATAAGCAGTATAGGGCCGGGGATTTAGCTCAGTGGTTTCGCCGCCTGCTGCACAAGCGCAAGGACCCGAGTTTGATCCCCGGTACCCAAAAAAAAAAGTATATAGATAGAAGCAATATGATTTTACAGAGTAGTGAACATTAATTAGGGTTCTCTGCATACAGATGTCCTTCAAAGGGAAGCATGCCTTGTTAAAAAGAAGTAACACTTAATAATGTAGTCAAAAACAGCTGCCTGTGGTCCCAAGGACTGAAAGTATAGCACGGGGTGTGGGGCGGGGGGGAGTCAGTATTTTAAGTATAGTTTTTTGGGGTTTTTTTGTTACCGGGGATTGAACTTGGGTCCTTGCGCTTGCTCAGCAGGTGGCGAACCACTGAGCTAAATCTCCGGCCCTTTAAGTATAATTTTAAAATGTAGATAGTTTGGTTACTTTGCTTACAAAAACATTAGGTAGCAGTCACTTCTGGGGTCTACTGATTATACTTTAATGCAGCTGCATTTTAGCCAATGTAATAACTTCAACTTATTTCTTTTAAAGTTTTAATCTTCAAGCTGGGTGTAGTGGTGCATGCTTGTGATCCCCGCACTTGCAAGGCTGAGGCAGGAAAATCAACAATGTGAGACCAGCCTGGGTTACATAGTTTAGAGTCATCCTTGACTACATAATGAGACCCCGTCTTTTTTTTTTTAAGGCCTTTAATTTGCTCTGGAAGTAATATTACATTTACTTAAATTTATATAATGTCTACTCTTATGGTTGGGAAGAGTCAGAGAAGAATTTGACTCCTCTTTATATCGTGCTCCTGCTTCAATTGTAACTAGACTGCTCCAGAATTCCAGGTGCTGATGTTTAAGGATTTATCCTTAGAGATAATGCTGGTTTTCTTAATACCTGTCTGTTTTCTGGTGTCCTGAAACTCAGTTTTCTACCTCAGTTACTGAAATTTTCAGTAAGTATGAGAAACATCAGAACATGACTTGTTACTAGCTAAAAGTTTCATCTAAAAAACAAACAGGCCCAGATGCAGGATGCTTCCATCATTGACATTGGTGTAAGAGTTACCAGTTCTTGCTCAGGCAGTCTCCAACGATGGCGTTAGCTGGGAGGCTCAGCTGAATTCCTTGTATCTTCCCTCTCACATTAGCCCTGGTTTTTTACATACTTTGCCTTTGAGGCTGCTTTTCCATCAACTTAACGCCCCTCCTAGTCAGAAGAGCTGGTTTGATTCCCCAAGAATGAATCAGTAAGGCCGGGGATTTAGCTCAGTGGTTCCGCTGCCTGCCTGGAAAGCGCAAGGTCCCGAGTTCAATCCCTGGTACCACAAAAAAAAAAGCAAAAAACCACCAACCAAAGAATGAATCAGTACATCATTGCATTGAATAAAATCATGAGTGACTCATGTTCCTAAGAAGTGTCACAAATGGCTCTCAATTAATTTATTCTCACTTTTGTGTACCAGAAGTCTACAATAAGAGAAGCTTAGAGGAAAAAAACACTGAACTAGGAGCCAGGGCTTGACTTTTCTCTAATCCCAAGTCATTTTGTCTGTCTAGGCCACATTTTCCCCATGAGTAAGAGTATTGGTAGATCAATTAGTCTGTTTTAGTACTGGGGATAAACCCAAGTCCTTTGCACTGAGCAAAGCAATATATATATCCCTAGCCCCAGGGGTGTGGGGGGGGGTGTTAATCGCTAAGTTGCCCAGGCTAGGCTTAAACTTGCCATACTTCTGCCTCAGCCTCCCAGAATGCTGCAATCATAGCACCACTGTAGATTGGTTTTCAAAGGACAGGACAAGGAGAGGATAATATTGTAGGGCTTGGATGTTTGTTAGTAATAGAAATTCATCCCATCAGTAGCAGAGGAAAAACAAATGTATCTTTTTCTCTTTTTTTTAGTACCTTGGGACCAAACTTGGGACCTTATGCTTGCGAGGCAGGTGTGGTGCCACTGAGCTAAATCCCCGGCCCCAAATGTATCATTTTTATTTATTTATTTTTTGGTCCTGGGGATTGAACTTGGGACCTTGTGCTTGCGAGGCAGGCACCGGAACCACTGAACTAATCCGCGGACCCCAAATGTATCATTTTTAACAGGGTCCCCAAGCTGTTGTGTTACACTAGCAGCTTTTGGAATAATTGGTAGATGATCCCATCCCAAACTAATGTGAGATAAGGTTTGATGCTTTTTTTTGGTTGATTTTCTTTTAAAAATTGCCAAAATTGGGATTAAAAATAACAGCAATATTGTTTGCTTTTTAATTATTCAGAGATCAGAGACCTTTGTCCTGTGGCTATTTTCCTTCATGTGTACAGAAAACGCAAATGAGTATCTACCTATTTTTTGATCTGAAATTTTACAAAGGGGGTTTTGGAATTATCCACAGAGTTTAATCATCCACTTTTCTTATCACACTAAACAGTAGGCACTTGCTCAGAGCAATAACTGGATTTATTGGGTGAATGTTATTCACTCAAATTTAACAAATTATTTCTTCACGTAAGTGTTTTTGTTTTGTTGAGACAGGGTCTCATTGTGTAGCTCACCCTCCCCAGTGCTTGGATTACAGATGTGCGCCACTATACCCAACCCATATAGGATTTTTATGGAAGCTTTGACAGAATTGTTTGTTACATTTCAGTCTCAAGAAAAGTTACTATTCACTGAGAGATTTCATTATCATTGTGTGTTTTCCACAGTTTTTCTTTTGATATGAATGAAGGAGCATTATGAATGAGGAACACATTTATGATCAGATGAGAGGAGCACCTTTGCTTTGAACCCCTTCTGTAACCATGCTGGTAGGCTCCAAATTTCTCAGCACTGAGATGAGAAAAAGAAGTAGAATACAATAACTAAGGGATTTCTCCAAAAGTCCGGGGTTATCAGCGTGTGCTGAAAGCCTGTGAAGAGATTTGGTTGGCTGTGCAAAACACAATCTCTGGGGCCTACGGTAGTAACTAATCCCATCATTTAGGGCCAAAAGCAAGTTCTCAGCATTATGTGAATTGGGAAGCTTGGGCAGTTATCAGAATACTGAGGTTGGCTTCTGGCACTATCCACAGAAGAGGTATCACCTCAGCTTTGCAACAGGACAGAATAATGATCCTGTATCCATGAGGGTAGCTGAACTCACCAAACAGATTATAAGCTACAATTTTACAGTCCAGTTGTTTTTCATAGACCATTTGGTCCTCATGGATCTTGCTTACCTTGTTAATTTCTATCATGAAGAGGCATAATTCCCAGGCATTCTCTCTGATTGTGAGAAGGTGCCACTCTAACGAGGCATTTTCAGATGGGCTGTTGTTGCCAGTCTTGCTCTTAGGACTTTCTTAAACTTGAGTTAAGGGCTTTGAAGATACCTTCAAAGTAAAAAATGTGGTTTGCATTTATGGCTTTTAATAAACTGAGTTTCTGATTTCCTGTGAAGACCAGAGCACATAAAATGCCAAGTCACATTGAGTCTTAGTGATTATCACTTTACATACTGAAAGCATTCTCTTTCCTAACTTTAGACTTGGTAAAGGGAAGATGTAGTATTTTTGTTAACAAAAAAACCAGAACTGGTGCTGGAGCCCAGTGTTCATCTTCAACCTTATATAATCTGTTTTCACACAGCAGCTAAAATAATTTATAGAGTAGATTGGATGATGTCATTCCCTCACTTAAAACTTTAATAGCTTCCCATTGTGGTAAAAATAAAATCCAAACTCCTTAACTGAGATGAGTTGGCTTTCTGCCCCTTTGTTTTGTAGGACTGTGGGAGCTAGCTGTCATGGACCATCCCTTTGCACCTTGTAAAATGGCAAGCTCTCACCTGTCTCAGGTCTTTCTGAACTATAGTTTCTGTTCTGCAGCCTCTAGACATAGCATATCCCATTTATTTACTTCATGGTTCTAGTTCTTTATGGACTTGCATGCCCTCCCTATCAGAATAAGCTACTCAAGAGCAGGGGAGTAGATAAAAGAGGGCCAGGGATTTAGCTCAGTGGTTCAGGCACCTGCCTCGAAAGTGCAAGGGTCCCAAGATCCAATCCCCAATGCCAAAAGAAAAAGGATACAAGATAACTTGTATTGGAGGGAAAGACAAAATAGCAAAAAGAGAGTTCCTGAAGAATCTGAGCATTTCGGATGGAGAAGAAGCTACCATCATCCCAAGGACATTCCCATTGGATAATAGAGATCTCATAAAGGAGAGTTTAGAGTTGAAGAAAGGGCCAAGGCAATCTCTGGGCAGGCAGATAAACCCTGATAAACCCTGTACCTC